GGGACAGAAAACACAGAATTGTTACTGAGGGACACAGAATTGTTACTGAGGGCCAAAGAACCGTTACTTAGGGCCACAGAAACGTTACTCAGGGACACAGAATTGTTACTGAGGGCCACAGAATTGTTACTTAGGGCCACAGAATTGTTACTTAGGGCCACAGAATTGTTACTCAGGGACAGACAGAATTGTTTCTGAGGGACACAGAATTGTTACTGAGGGCCACAGAACCGTTACTTAGGGCCACAGAACGTTACTTAGGGCCACAGAATTGTTACTCAGGGACAGACACAGAATTGTTACTGAGGGACACAGAATTGTTACTGAGGGCCACAGAACCGTTACTTAGGGCCACAGAAACGTTACTCAGGGACACAGAATTGTTACTGAGGGCCACAGAACCGTTACTTAGGGCCACAGAATTGTTACTTAGGGACACAGAATTGTTACTCAGGGACAGACACAGAATTGTTACTGAGGGACACAGAATTGTTACTGAGGGCCACAGAACCGTTACTTAGGGCCACAGAAACGTTACTCAGACACAGAATTGTTACTGAGGGCCACAGAACCGTTACTTAGGGCCACAGAAACGTTACTTAGGGACACAGAATTGTTACTCAGGGACAGACACAGAATTGTTACTCAGGGACAGACACAGAATTGTTACTGAGGGACACAGAATTGTTACTGAGGGCCACAGAAACGTTACTCAGGGACACAGAATTGTTACTGAGGGACACAGAACTGTTACTTAGAGCCACAGAAACGTTACTTAGGGCCACAGAATTGTTACTCAGGGACAGACACAGAATTGTTACTCAGAGGGACACAGAATTGTTACTGAGGGCCACAGAACCGTTTACTTAGGGCCACAGAAACGTTACTCAGGGACACAGAATTGTTACTGAGGCCACAGACACCGTTACTTAGGGCCACAGAATTGTTACTTAGGGACACAGAATTGTTACTCAGGCAGACACAGAATTGACAGGGACACAGAATTGTTACTCGAGGGCCACAGAATTGTTACTGAGGGCCACAGAACGTTACTTAGGGCCACACAGAATTGTTACTCAGGGACAGACACAGAATTGTTACTCAGGGACACAGAATTGTTACTGAGGGGACACAGAACCGTTACTTAGGGCCACAGAACAGAAACGTTACTCAGGGACACAGAATTGTTACTGAGGGCCACAGAACCGTTACTTAGGGCCACAGAAACGTTACTTAGGGACACAGAATTGTTACTCAGGGACAGACACAGAATTGTTTACTGAGGGACACAGAATTGTTACTGAGGGCCACAGAACCGTTACTTAGGGCCACAGAAACGTTACTCAGACACAGAATTGTTACTGAGGGACACAGAATTGTTACTCAGGGCCACAGAATTGTTACTCAGGGACAGACACAGAATTGTTACTCAGGGACACAGAATTGTTACTCAGGGACACAGAATCGTTGAATTAAAGAGTATGTCAGACAACATGCAGAGGAGGAGTGGCAGAGGAGGCAATGTTTTAGGAGCGAGCAGACGTGGCAGCAGAGGAAGGGGTCGAGGCAGCACTAGTCGCAGCCAGAGGCCAGTGCTCCCGGTGTCATCCAGCGGTCGTGTCTCCACCGACAACCCTGCCGTCATCGATTGGTTGGCTCGGTCTCGTCTTCCTCTTCCCAGGTCACCTCTGACACCTACAGCCAACGGTCGGTGTGTACGTCAGACACAACCGTTAGTTGGCATGGCCCGGGAGCAAGCCCACTGAAATCACGTGTCCTCTACCTGCCCCTGTCCTTTGCTGTTCCCTCACCAAGCGAAGTATCGCATGCTGTGGGCTCAGCCCCACTGTACAGTGAGGAAGAGCTAACAGAGGGCGGTCAGGAACGGGGGGAGACATCCGCCTCTTCAGCAGCCAGGCGAAGAAGTACTGGCGAGGAGAGTGGCTCGGTAGCCGGCTCTAGAGACAGGTCTGTCTCCTGACCCACACGCAGCCGAGGGGGCTAGTAGTGAGCGGAGACCCTAATTGATGATGAGGAGGTTGATCGCACTTGGCAGCCTCGTCGTCATCAGGCAAATTTCTTCCGCATCATCAGGAGAAGAGGGTGCCAGCTTGGCAGCGAGCGAAACAGTCGGTGGGTTGCCCAGGAGGCAGCAGGGTCGCAGCAGTGTCAGTGGAGCCAAACGGCCACGGAGTAGAGCACCAGCTCCACTGCAGCCTACCACCACGGCCAGTAGTGGTGCCGGTGTGCACGGAGGAAGTAGCAGTCAGCCAGTGAGGAGTAGCGGGGGCAAAGTTTCCTACTCGGCGGTGTGGCAATTTTTCGTCAAGCCGCCCGAGGAAGTAAACGTAGCCGTATGTCGACTATGTGGCCAGAAAGTCAAGCGTGGCCAGGGGGGCCCATGTTGGGACTACAGCGTTGCGTCAGCATATGCAGCGTCGCCATTTGGTGGCCTGGGAAAACCGTGATATAAAGATACGGCGGTTTCTGCCTGCCCCAGCCCCCGCTCCATCACCCGCTCCGTTACTTGCTCCGTCACCCGACGTCAATCGCCCTCTATCAGCCAGTCAAGGCTCCAACACCTCTGCTGAGGGGAGTTGTCGCTCGTTGGCATCTTCCGCTCGTTCAGATGCTCCTTCTCCTGCTACTCCTCTTCACGGATTCCGTCAGCAGTCTTTCTTGGAATCCGTTTCCAAGAGACAACAGTTTGCGAGCACGCACCCGACGGTGCAAAAGCTGAACGTCCTCCTGTCCAAGTTGCTGGTGCTGCAGTCCCTCCCTTTCCAACTGGTGGACTCAGCACCTTTCCAAGAAATGATGGCTTGTGCCGCGCCGCGGTGGAGAGTGCCAAGCCGGCATTTCTTCGCCAAAAAGGCAGTGCCAGCCCTGCATTCACATGTAGAAGATGGTGGGCCAGTCTTTGAGCATGTCGGTCTCTGCCAAAGTGCACGGCAGCGCCGACGTGTGGAGCTGTAACTACGGTCAGGGACAGTACATGTCATTTATGGCCCACTGGGTGAACGTGGTGCCGGCACAGCCGCACCAGCAACTTGGACAGGTCACAACGCTTTTGCCTCCACGTTTGCACGTCCTTGGGTCCAGCAAACATGTCCGCCTCTACCACCTCTTCTTCCGCCGTGTGTCCTCAGCCGCCACCCCCCGTGCCAAGTCCCATTACCCGACCGGCATATCACATGTGCAGGGCGCAACGGTGTCACGCTGTGCTGCACCTGGTATGCCTTGGCGAACGTAGTCACACAGGGGAGGAACTTCTGAGTGTAATGAACAGAGAAATCGACAGATGGCTGTCTCCGCGCAAACTGAAAATCGGAACCATGTTGACCGACAACGGCAAAGAACATGGTGTCTGCTCTGCGTCAAGGAAGGTTGTGCCATGCGCCATGCATGGCTCACGTGTTCAATCTGGTTGTCAAGCGGTTCCTAAAATCCACCATCCCACTGCAAGACATCCTTAAAATGTCACGTAAACTTTGCATGCATTTCAGCCATTCCTACAGCGCAAAGCACACCCTCCTTGAGCTGCAGCGGCAGAACGGAATTCCACAGCATCGCCTGATCTGCGACGTTGCAACAAGGTGGAATTCAACCCTACACACATGTTAGACCGCCTTTACGAACAGCGAAAGGCCATCACCGATTTCCTGATGTTACAAGCGGATAAAGGTACTCCCCTGTGTAACTTAGATGTCAGCCATTGGCAGCTCATGCGTGACACCTGCCGCTTGCTCAGGCCCTTTGAGGAGGCCACGCTATTCGTGAGTCGGCAGGACTATGGGATGAACGACGTCATTCCTCTGTTGCACGTCCTGGAACAAATGCTGTTAACAATGGCTGGTCAGGGTGCGGTAGACGTGGCGCACAGATCTCAACGCCACATGACCCCTGTGGGGGCAGGACAGGAAGAAGAGGAGGAGGTAGAGGAGGACATTTGTGCTCAGGAATTATTGAGTGAAATGGGTGGTTTTTCCACTCAGCGGACAGGAGTGGAGGAGGAGCAGGAGCATCTGGTAGAGGAGGAGGAGGAGGAGACAGAGGACCCAGACGCACCGTGGCAGTATGCTGTGGAGATGGAGGCAGGGAGTCCCTCGCATTCCTTGGCACAAATGGCCCATAGCATGCTCGGTTGCTTGCGTAGCGACAGCCGAATAATAACCATCAGACAGAGGGATGACTTTTGGCTGTCCACCTTGTTGGACCCTCGCTACCGTTCCAAAATGGTGGCCTTTTTCACACCTGCTGAGAGGGAGGCCAAAATTACGTACTATAAAAACCACCTATGTAGTCAGTTGGTCTCTGCCTTTCTGCGCCAACGTCCATCCTCAGACACTGTGGGCCCTGTGCGCTCGCGTTCCGCTGCCATGGCAGCAGGGGAGGGGTGGGGTGGTAGGAGCAGTGGCAGCTCCACCAGCAGCGGCTGCCTCAGTCTGCAGTCGATGATGAGTAGCTTTCTTCACCAGCGCAGTGAGGAAACTACTAACCAGCCGCAGCAGCAGCAGCAGCATCAGGTGGACCTGGAGCAGGAGCTCAAACAACAGGCTTGGGCCTACTTGGACAGCACCCTGCCAACCGAGGTAGACAATCCCCTTGACTACTGGGCAACGAAACTTGACCTTTGGCCCCAACTAGCTGAATTTGCCCTTGAAAGGCTGTCATGCCCGGCCAGTAGCGTGGCATCGGAGCGCGTGTTTAGTGCGGCAGGAGGTATTGTAACTCCGCGGAGGACACGACTGTCCAACCAAAGTGTGGAGAGACTCACGTTTGTGAAAATGAATCAGGCGTGGATTAGTCTGGATTTCAAACCACCAGTTCCTGACACAACTGACTAAATCCGCCATGAATCATGCCCCTGCCATGTGCCACTTTCAGGTCTCCGCACACTGCTGCTGGGTTCCATTTTGTCATAGGGATGCTGGCAGATTACAGGCCTCCCATAGCTGCTGCTGCCAGGTACCCCTAATCTGCTGCTGCCAGGCCCCATCTGGGCCCCTGTACCGCCTCCTCATGCTGCTGCAAGGTCCACAGTGTGTCATGCCATGTGCCACTTTCAGGTCTCCTCACACTGCTGGTGTGTTTCATTTTGTCATAGGATGCTGGCAGATTACGTGCCTCACATTGCTGCGGCCAGGCCCCTAATCTGCCATGGGCCCCTGTACCGCCTCCTCACGCTGCTGCCAGGTCCACAGTGTGTCATGGGTCCCTGTACCGGCCTCCCATTGCTGCTGTCTCCAACGCCACACTCTGCCAATATGCCACTATCAGGTCTCCTCACACTGCTGCTGGGTTCCATTTTGTCATAGGATGCTGGCAGATTACAGGGCCTCACATTGCTGCGACCAGGCCCCTAATCTGCCATGGGCCCCTGTACCGCCTCCTCACGCTGCTGCCAGGTCCACAGTGTCTGCCATGGGTCCCTGTACAGGCCTCCCATTGCTGCTGTCTCCAACGCCACACTCTGAGCCATGTGCCACTATCAGGTCTCCTCACACTGCTGGTGGGTTCCATTTTTGTCATAGGATGCTGGCAGATTACGGGCCTCCTCCATTGCTGCTGCCAGGCCCCTAATCTGCCATGGGCCCCTGTACCGCCTCCTCATTGCTGCCAGGTTCACAGAGTGTCTCTGTCCCTGTACCGCCACATTGCTGTGATCTCATGCCACTCTGCATGTGCCACTTTCAGGTCTCCTCACACTGCTGGTGGTTCCATTTTGTCATAGGATGCTGGCAGATTACGGGCCTCATCATGGCGATGTGCCACTTTCAGGTCTCCTCACACAGCTGGGCGGGTGTGTTTCATTTTGTCATAGGGTGCTGGCAGATTACGGGCCCCCATTCTGCGAGGCCCCAATCTGCCGGGCCCGTCCGCCCCCTAGCTGCTGCCCAAGGGGGCCACAGTGTGTCATGCCATGGGCCACTTTCAGGTCTCCCACATGCTTGGATTTTGTCATAGGGGTGCGGCAGATTCGGGGCCCCCCTTTTCTGTGCCCGGCCCTTAATCTGCCATGGGCCCCCGTACCCCCTCCTCTGTGCCCGGTCCACAGTGTGTCATGCCTGTCCCCTTATTCTCCACTTGCGGGCCCTTTTTTAAGGGGGTTCCCTCACCAAAACTGGGGCCCCCTTTTTCCTGGGGTT